GTCACATTTGACCTCTTGAATTTTGACGGAATATCGAAGCGGTCAAATTTGGAAGCTTGCCATTTGAGAGGTTAACAAGGGTACAGAGTGCAGCACGGATTTCCCCTCTTCAGACCGGAAGAATGCTGCAGTGCTGCTGCCCATTTCATATTAGATTTTACTCTGCCACCTCTTAAGGGGACTATGGGACAATATGGGGTCATAAGATGTCACTATAATATTCACATAAACATTAATTCAACTTTAAAACATCTGTACAAGATAAAAATATGTAGCACCTGGACAGTTTTACACCAAACATTATATTTATTCTTTTTTGTGGCTTGCTCTTGCTGCTCATGTGTTCGGCGCAAACGTAATTTTGTTCGCTTGGCTCTTCGACGAGGTTCTTCGTCGGATTCGGAGCCTGATGACTCCTCTAGTGAAGGCTCATCACTTAACTCATCCTGTATCTGCATATTCACTAAAGACGGCGGGTTAAAGACCTCTGGACGCGCAAGAGGAATGTATGTTCCTTCTTCAACGTCAGAATCCTCCAACTATAACAAAAAAAATCTACTAAAAGAACGCAAACGTCAAACAATTTATTAGTTCACATTTTAAATACAAATAATTTTATATATTATGTAATCTAAAAGTAATATTTATAATTTTAGCATTTTTAAACAATAATGATTAAGTTAAACGGAAATATAGGATAAACATCTAATAATGTTAATTCATAAGAACTGTTTAGGAAACTGCGCTTTAACCTCGCCTTCCTCCCGTTCATGGGTCACTTCGACATCCAAATCTCCTTCTGTTGTTGACATCATTCTCACCTAATTTTTTAGTAAATGTTAAAAGATAACAGCACATTAAAGTATTTTACAAAATACGATAATTCCGCCTTAAATCGCTATTCTCAGCAACTGGCAGGTGGCAGCTGTCATTTATATATTACTTGGTCTATGGTCTATGTCATTTGCTGTCATGTCACAGATTTTCGGCTTGGATGCTTGTTTTTAAGCCATGTCTTCACTTAATTCCTCAGAACAATAACTCCTAATGCAGGCGGGGCATCAACGTGTTATTTTCAATACAGTCCACACGTAGTTTGTCGAAAACATCCACGATCTTTTGGCGCATTTCGTCAACACTATCACGCTCATGATTAAAACACTTTCTTTCACATAAACCCACAGAAAGAAGCTTAACGGGATCAGATCTGGTGAGCAAGTTTGCCAAGTGTGTGGTCCTAGCCTGTCGATCCAGCGATCATCAAATGGTTCGGCGAGGGATTACGTACGAACCTCACGACATGACTGTAAAGGTGCACAAGCATGTTGGGACTATGTGCGGCGACATTCAGCTAACGATAAGTCCTCTAAAATGTCAATCAACTGTTCATTTAAGAAGTTTAGGTATCGTTGTCCGTTAAATCACTGTGGCAGAAACATTGGTCCTAGTATACGATCCTTAAATAAACCTGCCCATACTTTAACCGACTGTCGGGTTTGGTGGTTTGTCGAACAGCGTGTGGACCTCGGTATACACGTGTGTATATCTTCGGTTCCACAGGCCGTATCTGGTACATGTCGACTCGTTCGCCCAGATGACGTGCTCAATCAAACCAGGTTTGATTGAGCACATCATCTGGTGGACGTTTTTGGTGGTCTAATAACCAACGGTAGAAAACTCACCGGCGCACTGTGGGAAAACCAGATGTGTTTCATGACTTTCATCTTAAAACTTCATATCTCAGTTGTTTCAAAATGAATTAAACTAAAATTTTACATACGTGTACTTGGATATATAGGGTTTTTATTGAAAAGCAATTATTTTGACTTATATCTTTATTACATGACAAAAATGCATTAATTTTTAGTAAAAATAACTTATATTTTTTAGTTTTTTTTTTCAACCAACATAAAATGGACTGTTAAAACAATATCAAATGAAATCTTAATAAATATACACAAAATTTCTTGAGTTTCTATAGAACTTCATTCAGAGCAAGAAGAGCTTTGGCTTCATCAAATAGTTCCTTTGTTATTGTTTCTTTGGGGTTTCTCAAACTTGTTATATATGGATTAGAAGTATATAACAAGGTATGTATAATACATCTTCATTTGTAGCCACTCTTGAACCTTTCTAGCATGATAAAGTCGGAATTGTTTGTAATCCTTATTTCGAGATTCTTGTGCATCTTCAGACAATTTTTCGACAGGTAAAATAGCATGGTACTCAATTACTTCTTCCCCCGTGGATCACTTTTTTGTGGACAGACGAAGGCATATAATATCAGTTATAAATATTCAAGTACAGTTGGCCTGTGCTATATGGATATTCGCCGAATTTTTTTTGAATGTATAGCCATTCCAGATGATATAGTTTGTAGTAGTATGTACATTCGTTTTATAAGTTCTTCATCTACACCTGTAATGTCTGTAGAGCAAGATTATGTATGAAGACCTCCGAGCAGTATTTCCGTCATTAGAGTTTCCAGTGCCTTGTTGAGTTTGAAAAAGGTGTGCCATCGTGAGGGTTCTACAAGATGTATTTAAGATATTTTTTCTTATCATTTTTGACGCAGTTTGCATATTAACGATTATAGCCTCGTCCGTCTCATCCATAGACCGTAACTCCTAAGCATATGCAGTGAGCACACAGTCGAATCCATGCTCTTGTATTAACTCTATGTTCATTCGTTTCTTTGTCTTTTCCGAACATGCTTCGTATGCTTTTGAAGGCCTGCCACCATTACTTCCAGATGTATTAAGTTCATCAACTGAGACTTGAAACTCACGTGGAACACGAAATGTACCACCTAACCATTTGACATTCCGACTTTCAAAGCATTCTCTTATCGGATATGTGTTTTTCCAGTGTTTGTTACATAGCACAGTACAGTAGCTATATCCTCTGTGGGCAAATTAAAATTCTTTTTAAGTAATCTTCTATATTTTGCCCATTTATCACCAAACTGCACAACTCTCGTTTGCTGCAAACAAATTCACAAATTTTTCAAATCAGTATAAACTTTTGAAAAGCGGACTTATTACTGTACTGGGGCAACTGAATTTATGACTGACAACCATGAATGTTTCAGAGTTGGCCGTCATTTTTATAGGACCAATAAATAGTAGAAAACGATAGGAAACTAATAATTTCCCAACCTGTTTTTTAATTGACCCTAATTGATAATTCTATTAAGTTTATTAAATGACAATTCTATTAAGTTATGTGGTCAAATTTTGAAATAGATATCAAATTCAAGACATATTTCTTTGAACACAGGTAAATTAGGTCTTGTGAACTGCTTACCATATATCATTTCAAAAAAAATGTAAATATGCCGTCATCCATGCTATTTTATAAAAGAATAAAAGTTTTTGAAAAAAATGATTTTTATCTAGGGATGTATTTTAGAACCGTATCTAAAATAAAAAAAGAACAAGTAAAACATTGAAGTAATATGTACTTACGTACTAGAACAGCTATCTCAAACAAAAAATGTGTGCTACTCTGTGTACGCGCGGTTGTTTTTTTATCATAGAATAAACATAGGTAGAATGACCCGTAGGTAATAGTAGATTGTATTGTTAAATGAGGAGGTAACAATCAAAATGTGATATGTCACTTGGATATGGAACAAAGAAAAATAAACATTTTTGATTTTAGCGAATTGAGTGTAAGATTAAGATTCAAATAAAAGTAAAAAAAAAAACAAATTATTACTACTGAATAATATTATTATATTTTAATGGATAAGTCAAGTCTCTATCTCTTTATTTTATTTTTTGAAAAATGGACAAAAACGTTATGCATGAACCACATGGACAAAACATGTTTTGACTTGAAAACATGTTTCAATCTCGCAGTCGAAACGTGTTTTGTCCATTTCTAACTACAATCTTTTGAGTCTTAGATTAGTGTATGTTGTGGATCAGTTTTTATTAAAAAAACAGTATTTTAGAAAACATGTTTATTTTAGCAATATTAATTAGTAAAACTTTTATTGACTTATTTTACCAATACAATCAGTAATACTTAAATTCTCATACAATTCTCATTATCCAGACAATCACACTCATTTTCATTATCATCAATTGTTTCCTGAATAGTGGTCGGAGTATTGAAAAGAACTTCTTTATACCAGTTGAAACACCTCTTGCCAGTTTCCAAAAACAGACTGTAGTAATTTGTCTACATCCATCTTTTTTTTTTTCATTAGATAAAGATCTGCTTAAAGGCAGTGTTTTTGGTTGCATTCTGTTTAACATGTTAATGGTGAATGATTTCTTGTTTAAATTTTCGTATGTTTCATTTCCTTCATAAATAAAGTTTTCCATCGCTCGAACTCTGACTGACCGTTTACCATTAACCTCGTTGACTTTGAAGAAAATCCTTTTCATATTGCTTATGTTTTTTAGATCTTTGTAGAACTTCTTTAAGTCCTTGGTATCTTTGAGTTGCGAGGGTAGTCTTGTCCTAATGAATACAACTGTCCCAGTTCTTTAAAAATTTCTATATATTCTTCTTTTACGATAATAGTGGGCTTGTTTCGCAACAGTTTTTCAGCCCTGCCAAAAACTCTATCGGCAGGCAAAAAGGAATGGCCTCGAGTCGGAAAATGCATATGAATTTCCTTAAGAGATGTTCTTGTAGTTTGCAAATAGTACATAATAGTACGTATTACAATATTATTTTTATTTTGAGAGATACATTCGTCACTAAACAGTTTTAAAATGGTGTGTGATTAGAAATCAGTATTCAGAAGGAAATGTAACAAAGCAGATGATGTTTCTGTACTTCCTTTACCGGCTTGTCCTTCAGACCAGCAGTAAAACTGTGGTTTCAGTCCTTTTAAATCGACTATACAAAAGTTGTAATATCCAATTTGTCTCAAATAGTATGCCTCCTGTACCGGTGCTTTTGACAACGGTTGGATTTGTTGTAAATCAAAACAGTAGCTTATCGAATCTTCTACATCCTGCCTCATTAGCTGATACATTTTATCATGACAATGCTGATACATTCGCTCTCTTCTTATGAATTCTTTTTTCTATAATGACATCATTCCTCTCCTTTGACCCTGATGGATATGTTTTTATTTTGTGATTTAGAATTGTGCAATAACTGCACACATCGGTAGCTGGTGATTTAAAACCAATATTAAATTCACTAACAAAGATTCGTCTAAACATTGAAAGTTTCACTTTCAGTTCATCAGTGGTATTCGCATTGTATATTTTATGTAATTTTTTAATACTCAAGCCTGCCATCAAATAGATTCGTTTAGACTTATTTCTTCCATAATGACTTTCACTTCCTCGAAGTTTTCCAATGAATTTTCCTACATTGTCTTTCTTCTCCCGGCTTAAATGACTTTTTCGGTCACCTCCTCTATTTTCTTTAATTCTTTTACCCTGAAACTGCTTTTTTGCTATGTTTTGAAGCCTAGTACGCCCCATCTTAGTTAATTCAAGAAAAAACTTCTTGCAAACTGGAACCCTCTGAGAATCAACTGTTAAGAAGTATTTCACATTGAATAGATGTTCTGACACAACCTTCTTGTTAGGTTTTACTCTAGGTCTCCTTCGCTTCACTTGGTGAGTCTGAATTAAAGATGAAATGATCCCATCTTGAGCAAGTTTTTCCGGAACCGAACACAACTTTGTTCGCATATGCATAACGTGCTTTGGTGTAACTTTTGAGCAACGAAAGATTTTCGTGTCGTGTGCACAAGGGTGAATAACATTAGAATTATAAAGTTTTGAATACTTCATCTTTTTTGGCAGCAATTCTTTTTCCACCAGTGATACGTCTTTTACGGCTACCACTATTCCCAGCTTGCACTTCTATAGTATCCGTTTCGTCTACGATATCGTCCATTTTATATTGCATTAAAAATTTGCGTCACAATATTATTTTATTTTATTCAAAAATCGAAAAATACGACACAGTAAAATAACCTCACTTAGGTAATGAATGACAACAAGTGGTTCATTCAGATTCATTCAAACTGTGTTAAGTCAAATGTCAAAATGGCGTCCACTTATTTGTGATTGGTTGTTCTTCTCTGTCTACGGGTTGTTGGGACAAAACATTTTATGATGTTAGCCTGCTGAAGGACAGAACGCGTTTTGTTTTTACTGCCTATTTTACTCATTAAAAATATTTAGAGAAAACATGTTTTGATGCAAACTGTTCTTTTAAAAAATATGGAGCCCATAGAGTAGAGGAAAATGGTATTATCAACTTTTTTCTTTTTTCTTTTTTTTGTGACAAATCACGTTTTGATTGTTACCTCCTCAAATAGGTAAATTATATCGAGAACAATATTTAAATTTTGTTATGTATTTTAATAATAATACCAATAATAAGCTTTTTATTTGTCTCAGTTTACACATGTTATTAAAATGTACAAATAAAAATCATCACAAACTTAACTTAGAAACATACTTAAGTAACATAAAAGTAATGAGACAAACTGGCCTGTGAGTCAGCTATGTGGTGATTTTGGGTCACCGTTGGTATTCTGCCACAGCCGACTATTTTAAAAAACACAGCATCTTAACCTAATTTTGGCATTGACGTAATACAATTAAAGAATAGATTAAAATATTTATTCATATGTGCTATGTAAATTTAGGCAAAGGAGACAATCGCCTCTGGACCTACCAGAAACTTCAACGACCCTCAATGGTATCAGCCCAAAGATTTTTTGAAAATCTAAGCTGAATCATGAACTATTGAAAAGAATTAAGAAAATTACTGTTAAAGAGCAATACTATTGTAAGAATGAAGTCTGTAGTTACATATAGTACTTCATACCTGCCTCCAACTTTTGTTGTTCAAGTAACCATACTTTGCATTTCTTTCTAAATAAGTTTGCATTTACGATCTCCTGCAAAGGAGGAGGTATATTATTCCAAATTTTGGAGGCAGCATATTTGAAACATCCATTTGCTTTAACACGCTTATAAGTTGGAAGTATATATAATAGTTTACCCCTTCGTCTCAAACGTGTTAGTCGACATTTTGGAGATAATTTTTCATATAAATAATGAGGACATTGCGAATTATTTAATGAGTGTATGAAACAAGCATATTTATTTTGTATAAATTTTTTTTTATTATTAAGCATATCTATTTTGTATATTATATTTGCTATTTAATATAATATTACATAATATCACAATTACATTTTAATGATATGTTATCTGAATAAAGGAGAGAAAGGGGAATGAAAGTGAACGCAAGTAAGACGAAAGTGATGGTTTTTGAAAGAGAAGAAAGCAAAACGGTATGTGAAATAAGAATAGAAGGAGAGTTAATTGAGCAAGTGGATGAGTTTGTGTATTTGGGATGTGTATTTAGCAGGGATGGTAGATATGATAGGGATATAGAACGACGAGTAAATGCAGGGAATAGAGTGAATGAGGCACTACACTCTATTGTGAAGAACCAGAATGTGTCAAAAAAGGCACGTATGGTAATTCATAATGCTGTGTTAGTCCCTACTTTAATTGTATGGTAGTGAAAGCTGGGTGTGGCAGAAGAAGCACGAAAGTAGAATAAATGCTGTAGAAATGCGGTCTTTAAGGAGTATGCTAGGGTTGAATCTGAATGACAGGGTGAGAAATTGCGTGATAAGAGATAAATGTGGTATGCAAGATGATGTTGTGACCAGGATTAAGAAAGGAATGCTTCGGTGGTTTGGTCATGTAGAAAGAATGAATGAGGAAAGAGTGACAAAGCAAATTTATATGGCAGATGTGAACGGCCGAGTCGGGAAGGGACGCCCTAGAAAAAAGTTTATCGACCAAATTGGCGATATTTTGAAAAGGGGCCACGTTAGAAGTACCCTTAACCGACGAGCATGTATGCGTGTAGATATATGGATGTAAAGGAGGCGAAAGAGGTATTTCAGGATCGTGCCAAATGGAAGTCCGTAGTCTCTGCCTACCCCTCTGGGTGACAGGCGTGAGTGTTTATATGTTATCTGAATATTTTAAAAGGTACCTAAGTCTAATATAAAAAACATACTAAATGTATGTTTAACAAAACTTATTAAAATAACATTTAAAATACAAATATATTTATTTAAATTAGAATAAGAGTTGTTCATAAATGCTGGGCACGCGAGAGTTAAAAATTGACGAATTTATTCCACTTTGACTTTGATGTGGAAACCTAAAAATAAAATAAAAGAATAATAAGCGGATTTAAACATGAAAAATTTTGCCAAATTATAATAACTTATATATGTTTCTACAAAAAAAAATGTGTACAATAATATATTCGTGGTATACTTAAGTACCCATAGAAATGTCTCATCTGAACATATTAATTTCATAATCTATATTCCATGACACGAGATGGCGTCTTATTAATAATTTGTTTTATTATTAATACATAATATGTTTTTATTGATTAAGTATCTTATTAACCGATGAAAAGTAATTCCTAGGTTTTACTGACATTTCTTGAATTATTTGTGCAATATCTAAGTACACACGACGGCATATTTTTATCAAGAGATTTTTTTTAAATCAACACCACACGTGACAACTCTATAAGCGCCTAGCGAGTGACTGATTAAAGTGCGGCGTATGCACCGCAGTTGAGTGGAACAGAGTAGCTTAATGCAGTGTCGCCTCTAGTATGTAGTACATAATAGCTCAATGAAGTAAAAGCAATTTTTTCCCTAAACGGAGTAATGTGTGAAGATCTCAATGCAATAAATACCTCGACATCGGCAAGCATCGGTAAGAGGTAAATCTCTCGTTAAAAAGTGTAAAATATACCATCTTAAACTATATTGGCTATTTAGTTAAATTATATTGATTATTTGGTTTTTCTTTAATTAACTAATATAATATAATATTAAATACGAAAAATTTGGAAAAGCATACGAACACCCAAAAATGTATGTACTTATATGGAATACTTTTAAGTAATATGGTATTGAATCCTAATAACCTATTTCGTCAAAACCATCTCAATCGAAAATGACTTACATTTGATGCTCTTTTATTCTTGTATTAAACATACAAAATAAAATAAAAATACCTAAAAAGAAACTTTATTTATAATAGTAGGTAGGTATATAAATTTATAATTTTCGTCACGTAACAACGACTTTAGTTTAAAACCGATATATTGCGGCGGTTGTGATCGCCGGGAACTAAAGCTTGCACTTTGTGCACTTTATATGGGTGCATCCGGTTACGCGCACTTGTTTCATCTCGACGCCTTAATAATTTAGCGATACTTCGTGTACCTAGGTTCGGACTTATGCGAACGACATCTAAAATCCGCGGAGTGAACAGGCGCTTGACTTCCACCCCCTGCCGCCACCAGAGCAATGGGCCGACTTTCTAACACTGTTGCGGTTTTCAGATTAGAGTCAGCTGGGTCTCGAGCGGTCGAGAACTTCTCTGGATAAATTCGTAATGCACGCGAATAATTTCCGCGAACGTAATTACGAGCACCATAAACGTACGCGTTAGGCATTATTGAAACAAAACAAGAAACACAAAACGTAATAAAAAGAATAATAAAAACAAGTAGTAACAAGTAATTACAAAAAACGATTGAACTGTCGCTCACGCGCACGTGATAGTCAACACGTAACTGTCTCAAAAACTAAAACGAATAATCAATCCTGCCAAAACAAATAATGCCTACCGCTAAGTGCGCGCGTCCTGGGCGGCGGCAGTGCGTGTGTGAAAGGGAAGGGTAGAGTGAGCCGTGAGGGAAAATGCGATTAGCGTAAGTGTAGTACCGTAATACCTATTACATTGTTTCGTACCGAGCTAGATAAAAGAGTTCGGCGTCCGCGCGAATATTGGCCCTATTGTCAGCTGATTTTATTTCAAGTTGCACTGCTGGTATTATGTTTAAATATTTTCATGATTTTTTAAATGAATTTATCATTTCATTTAGCTGTACTAACATGCTGGATTGTGAATAAAGCTAGCTATATATTTTATTAAACAAAACGTTGTAAAACTACTATCGTCTATCTTCGTTTCTGGGAGCGTTTCGCAAACACCCGGTATTAAAAACATATAATAGTAGGGTTTATGAAATAAAGCAAATATGTGGAAGGTCTCAAATATGTAAAAGCATTATATTAATATAAGTAGAACTTGAAAAGGATTATTATAGTGGCATGTAGACTGCATCACAGTGTAATAGATCGAGATAAACTTGTACTCGCTAATCGATATGTCGTAGGCATAACATCTTAGTGGTGGTGGTAAGCGGGTTTGTTGTAGCAATGCGGCTTGCCCGTGGACATCGCACACCCAAACCGTTTGTAGGCGGTGTCTTAGCTGGTCTTAGCGCATAGTGTTATGATACGTCGGCTATTTTTCGGACTGGGGTTAGTGTGTTTGGTAGCACTTTTAAGTGTACTCAAATCCATGTTTTAATGAAATAGCGCTATGATACGTGGATTTTTGACTACTGGAGTCTTAGCGCCGTGCTACTATGACACGTTGGTGTTATTATTATGCTGGGTGTATTGTGAAGGGGTGCCATTCGTATGGTAATTGCATTGATGCTTACTGCTACTAGCGGTACTGCGTCTTGTGATGGATCTGCGTGTGTGCTAGGGTCGTTGCGCTGGTTTTCGGCCTTTTAGTGGAGTTGTCAACTTTAAGATACTATAAAA